CGTGTGGCGCGAGCCAGCGTGTCGCGAGGGGCGGGGTCGGCGACCGTGGGGAGGAGGAGCTCTCCTCTCCCGCACCGCCCACTGCGTCACGCTAGGCAACGAGAGACAAGGGGGCGGAGTCAGCGATCGTCGGAAGGAGGAGCTCTCCTCTCCCGCACCGCCCACTGCGTCACGCCAGGCAACGAGAGACAAAGGGGGCGTGGGTGGGGGAGGGGGAGGGGCTAAATGGATGACACGGGGAGAGGTCTGACTCCTCCAAACGCTCCACAAAGCATAACACTGCGTAAAAAAGCTTGATGCCACAAGAACGGTCGTAAGAATGGTCGTAAGAAGGGTGTAGAGAACTTCCACTCGACGGATCTCCGGCGTCGAGAACAGAAAGATCACTCACGACAGACGGGAGTACGACTCACGACAGACGGGAGTACGACTCACGACAGACGGGAGTACGACTCACCACAGAGGGGAGTACGACTCACGACAGACGGGAGTACGACTCACGACAGACGGGAGTACGACTCACGATGGACGGGAGTACGACTCACGATAGGCGGGAGTGCTGAAATATCCGTTGACACCACCCCTCTATTCTGGGTACTGGAATGCCTTTGACAACACAGCTGGTGTCCCTGGCAATGTTCTCACACCGAGCACAGATAGGAAGCTTCTCGGAACAAGTGACGCGACTGGTAGACAATGCGTACTTCCATTGGGAACACAACCATTGGGCACACCAAGGCACGAAAGTGAAACAAAGATTCGACGGAAATGAAACTGTTTGGGGATTTTCCTTTATTTCTGCTTAATTCTTCGTCCAATTTGATTGTGATGTTCTCATGTATCCTTTTTTTTCTCCCTTTACTTCAAGACAAACCTACAGACATCGTGGTGAACATGTTGATGCACTTCGCTGGATACACTCACTAAAACAGAAACACAGAATTGTAGAAACCACCAATCGCTTCACACCAGTGCACAGAAATGCATGTACATGTAAACAGAAAAAAATCTTATCTCACTCTCACTCTCTATCTAGAACATTGCGTTAGAAAGACAATATGCCCCCACTACATGTAAGACGTCTTCGGTGAAAGAAAGCTGTGTAATTGCCCTAGATACGCAAATGAGTTAAATTTGAAATACATTTGTTTAAAAATGAATGAACAGACAAACAAACGAACAAAACCAAACAAATAGATTCAGTTAAAATATCGGAAAGACTATTATAAGATCGGTTCGACACGATTAAACCCGTTTTGAAGGCTGGTACGGTGCATGCCTTTTTTAATTTCATTTTTAAAAAAAACAACAACCGAAAAATCTGCTTGTATAATAAATTTATATCACAAACATTACATCTTCATGTGTTGTTGAATGGCCAGTATACACGCCCTCGATAGTTTAAAAAATCCACAAAAAAACAACAACAACAACAAAAAACCCAACAACCCAAAACCCTTTGGTAGACACAGTAACCCGAAGATGCAGCTCTGGCCTCTTGTAGTAACTTCAAGAACCTTGACTCGTATCATCTGATACTAACTCGGTGTTTCTACACTCGTATAAACTGACAGTACACGAATTACGACCATCTGGACATTAGAGACCCTGCCTTACAACCAAACACCAAATACAAACTATGGGTTATCTCTATCTTGTCTCCAGGCCACCAATTCTTTTATGACATTCTGTTCAGTGCTTTATGATATTCTCTTCAACGATTTATGAGATTTCATCCACTGTTTTATGATATTATTTTATCAGCAGGTACGACTCCGCTCTGAGGCCTGGCTCGGTGCTGCAGGGACTGAAGAGATGGAGAGATAGTCTCCTGGGAACTCCCACAGGCATCAGTGGTGCTACAACAGCGCCATTCACCCAGGCACAACCACACGCCGCCCGCTGTGACGTAACAGCCAGAGATACGCTTTGCCGTGATGACGTCATCAATCCGTGAGCAGTTCCGCGCGAGGAAGCAGGCTCTGGGATGACCCCCCGACGGCCACCAGGGGAAACGTGTCGACAACAGGCTATACGTTCTTATCTAGACAACGGGCCATCATTGACGCTACCCGGAAATTACCCTGAGAATTAGACGTTGCTGGGGCGCCTTGATAAGCCAGCACAGGGGGGCCTTATCTATCCCTACCTCTGCCTCTGTCTCTGTCTCTACCTCTGTTTCTGCCTCTACCTCTGCTTCTGCCTCTGTCCCTACCTCTGCCTCTACCTCTGTCTCTACCTCTGCTTCTGCCTCTACCTCTGCCTCTACCTCTGTCTCTACCTCTGTCTCTGCCTCTACTACTGCCTCTATTTCTACCCCAAGGCCCTTTCTATAATACCTCCTTGCTGATGTGAAGTGGGCTAATGGCCTTAAACATTGGACAAATTTACTTACTCCTTGCTCTCCCTTTACCCCTACCCCTAGCTCTACCCTTATCCTTAACCCTACCCCTATCTTTACCTATCACTTCCTCTACCTCTACCCCTCTCTACCCTTATCCCTAATCCCTACCCCTACCTCAATCTCCCTCTACCCCTACCCCTAATCCCTACCCCTTATCTCTACCTCCCACTTCCCCTACCCTACCTCCCACTTCCCCTACCCCTATCCCTACCCTACCTCTACCCCTATCCCTACCCCTATCCCTACCTTTACCTATTCCTTCCTCTACCCCCCTCTACCCCTATCCCTACCCCTATCCCTACCCCCAATCTCTACCTCCACCCTCCAGTACACATCAACATAGCCAGCAAAGTCTCGGGGAGTACCCCCACAGACGCCGGCCACAATAAGACATCCCAATCCGGGTCAAAGAGGCCCCATCAACGGTGCCGCGACCGTCTTGTCTGACCGACTAATTAGGCGAGACACTGACTGACAGACATCTCGTGGCAAGCGTTGAAAGAAAAGTCCTTGACAGTCGAGGAAGTAAGCTGGTTTTGGTTTTTGGTTTTGTTTTGAGTGTTGTTCGTTTGTTGTTTTTTTCCCCCTTTTTTTGGGAGGGGGGGATTTTTTTTTTTAAAGATCGTTTATAATGATACGGAGGAACGCGAGGGGTAGAAAAAGGTTAGAAGAGCAGTCCAAGATGATCACCTGATCCAACGACCATCTCGCACTCCCCCTCCTCCTCCCCCCCTCTATATTTTACCACTAGAACGACACTGTCCGCGCTGCCCACCTGTGTTAGCCACTACCTTCATCCACAATGAGTGGTCGTATTTGACAATGTCCACTGTCTTCTTATGGATTGAGAGAAGGACCATGATCAATAACGCTACAAAAGTGCTGTGGCCGGGGTTTTCATGTTTTTAAATATTTAAAAAAAATATGTTATTGATTTATTGATTGATTGATTGATTGATTTTCAGTTATTTATATATCTATTTATTTATTTATCTATTTTATTTATTTATGTATCTATTTATTCGTTCATTTATTCACTTATTC